ATTGTCTTTTAAGTTTGTGACCAGAAATGCTTATTAGTAATTTTGTGACCAGAAATGCTTATTAGTAATTTTGTGACCAGAAATGTTTATTAGTAATTTTGTGACCAGAAATGCTTATTAGTAATTTTGTGACCAGAAATGCTTATTAGTAATTTTGTGACCAGAAATGCTTATTAGTAATTTTGTGACCAGAAATGCTTATTAGTAATTTTGTGACCAGAAATGCTTATCAGAAATGCTTATTAGTTACTTTTTGGTTTCATAAGAATTATTTTGATTTAAACAATTTTTTGAATTACTACGAGGAATTATACCAGGAACTCTAGTGTTATTTGAAAAAAAATAACTTTATTAATCAGAATGTTTGCATTGTTATGTATTTTATCTGAAAAGTTTTTACTTTTGCTTCTCAATTTTAGCAGATGAAGCATTAATCACTTCTGTAAAACATTTTTTTTAAAGATTTTCATCTACTTGAAGTATTATCTGGTATTTTTTTTTTTTTGTTATTTTTTTTAATTATTTTTAGTGATTAACATAAACTTGATTTAACTTAATAATTTAAAACTTGATGAAATTTATTTATAACTTACATGAGGTTTAATAAAACTTGATGAAATTTGTTTATAACTTACATGAGGTTTAATAAATATTTTTTAATTATTTAATAATGTCCAACAATCCAATACTTCCTAAAATTAAACTTTATTGGCATTACATTTCACAAAAGAGTTGTTTTAATTTTTTTTTATTTCCTTCGCATTATACGTTTCTGTTAAAAACTTGAAAATTGCTGAAATTTTTTAAAAATTGCTGAAATTTTTAATTTTTTACAAATTATTAAAATAAACTACTTATACTTAAATTAAAAGATGTTTTAAATAATTTTTATCACTTGTTCACTTGTTTATTTGTACTAACTTGTTCACTTGTTTATTTGTACTAACTTGTTCACTTGTTTATTTGTACTAACTTGTTCACTTGTTTATTTGTACTAACTTGTTCACTTGTTTATTTGTACTAGCTTTAAATAAAGATAAAAGATTTTTGAATTATATTTAAAAACCTTTTTCAACACTTTGCCTACTATTGTGATTAGGTAGCTACGTCACTGTTCAAATTTCTTAAATAAATTAAAACCACTTACCGGTATGAGATCGAATGTGAATTTTCATATTTTCAATTCTAGTGAAAGAAGCACCACATCCTTTAGCAGGGCAAGTATGAGGTTTCTCACCGGTATGAGTTCTTAAATGTATCACCATCTTATACTTAGCATCAAATGATTTACCTTCCCTAGAACAACCTTTCCATTGACAAGTGTATTGTTGCTTGTCATCAGCTAAGACATGAGATGCATTGACATGTCTAATTAAATCTGTATTGGTAATCAAGTGTGTTCCACAATTATCCCAACCACAACTTACAATTTGAGGAATAGATACCCCAATAATTTGTTCATCAGATACAATTTCTCGATTGGGAGTGTCTATATCTTGTCCTATGTAAGATTTAGATTTAGATTCATCATACTGAATTAGAAGATTGCTATCTTCAGCTTTCTAAAAAACAGTTTCAAAAGCAAAACTATATATGAAAAGTTTAAGATTTATTTTAAAAGGGATCCCGAACCTCAGAGACATGTTGTGTTCATATTAAAGAGAATGATAAAAAAAAAATGTTTGGGCTAAATTTTTTGGATTAAAACAAAAGAATAAATAAATAGATGAAAAACTAATTTTTTTATTTGATTCAAAGCTCGCCTTTTCTTTTATTGTAGGCCTAAAAATCAGCATAATATACGCTGCAATCTTAAGACTTGATAATTTATTCAAGCGTGTTTTTCCTAAGAGTTTCAGTACATGATGTTATTGATTTTTTTTGTTTGTGTAAGAGATCAATTATGTAAACAATAAAAACATCATGTACTAAAACTCTTCGGAATAAAACGTGCTTGAATAAATTATCAAGTCTATAGATCGCGACACATATTATGCTGACTTTTAGGCCTACAATAAAATGAAGTTTTTCTCTGTATTCATTTATTCTTTTGTTTTAATCAAAAAAATTTAGCCCAAACATTTTTTTTATCATTCTCTTTAATATGAACATAATATGTCTCTGAGGTTTGGGATTCTTTTAAAGTTTTAAAAACACACACAGATATATATATATATATATATATATATATATATATATATATATATATATATATATATATATATATACATATATATATATATATATATTTATATATATATATATATATATATATATATATATATATATATATATATATATATATATATATATATATATATATATATATATATATACATACAGGCCTACATGGGAGTAAATGAGTGTGAGAGTGAAGAAAAATTATCCTAAAATGAACATGGTAAGCCTTGCAAGCTGCTCCTCTAAATAGCTTTTTACATGAACTTTCGAATTTTGCGTATATAAACTATCTGTTTATTTATTAAAAAATTGCTTATTAAATACAAAATTTTGTATTTAATAAAATAATATATTTGATAAAATTTTGTACTTGTTATAAGAATATTATCAATTTATTTTTTCATAATAGGATTTTTTTAAGAAAATGATTTTTAAGAAACCAATCAGTTAGTCCAATCTAATTAAAAACATTTGCATTTCAATTGGCACTCTTTCTTATGCAATAACTGTGCTTTAATAAAGGATTGCAGTTTTTTATGCAATTATTAGTAAGCTGACCAACATCCTCCTTTTTATGTATTTTTAGTCATTATGGACTTTTTAAAGAATAAACTCCTAGTGGAAGAATGGAAGAATATGGCTAAAAACTGTTACCATTTTTGAGGGTGCTGAATGCAAAAATATAGAGAAACCAATCCATGATAAAATTTTTATTGTCATTTTTTGATTTTAAAATGATCAGTTAAACTTTTATGTTTTTATCACCGTGGGTTGTCACTAACTCCCAGAGTTTCCCAAGTCTCATGGATTCTAATTTTTTTTTAAATAAAAAAGGAGATCTTAAACTATTACAATAAAAATGGTTTTGGTCCCTTGAAACATAATACAAACTGGTTTTGGTCTCTTGAAGCATAATAAAAAATGGTTTTGGTCTCTTGAAGCATAATAAAAACTAATATGAGCCCAAATAAGAAATTTAGATGAAAAGTCCCTTATTCGAGCTCATATTCCCTATGAAAGTTTCTTTAGCAATACCTTTTGTGTGAACAATTTAAGTTTTAGTGGAGGAATATGACTGAAAATTAGTTCCTGCCCATTTTTGAAGGTGCTGAACCCAAAGATAAAAAGAAAATAACCAAATTCAAAATATTTGATAATCGTTTTTTTATTTCAAAATGGCGATTATCAAATATTTTATATTTGGTTATTTTCAATCATCTTTTTTCATTAACATAAAATGAGGTACGCTTTTACTAATTCCTGGAGTTGCCTGACTATCATTAGTTAAAAACAATTTTTTGAGGTTGGTTGTAATGTATAAATATAATTTTGTGAGGTCAATTGCAACCCTCGGAATTAGGGTCAGCTAACTAACTGCCGACCTGAAAGTATTTAAGGTCAAAAATTTGCCAACCTCATTTCTATGTTTTATGGTCAGACCTTTGTATCAAATAATTTTTGCCCACCTGATGCCGACCTCAAAAAGATTGAGGTCAGCAAATTATTGCCAACCTCATTTCTCCTAATTCCCAGGGTTGCAATTGCAATGTAAAAGTAACGTTTTGTGAAATATATATGTGACATATTTTGTGATATACACCGTTGCTTTGAATTGAATCTTTTGAAGATATTCCTTAATATCAAAGAAAAATTTGTTATGGGTATTAAATGGATTGCACATTGCTGCAATCCACTTAATACCCATAACAAAGTTAAAAAAAGTATTTTAGTAGAGAAAACTTTTACTCAAATTTGCAAATTATGAGCATTGAGAATTAAAATAATGAAATTCTTGGCAGCCAACTCTTAGAGTTCTATTTTAGCTATATTTAACCTTACTTTTAGTTAACTTCTGAAAGTGCACAATTAAATACAATAAAACTTTTCAAATTTAAATTGTTTCATTAATATTTTAAAATAGATTAAGAGTTCTTCTCTTTTTTTCAGGCAATCTTTATGAAATCAACTTGGATACAGTACAATTCCTATGCAGGTAAGACAAATTTATAGTACCAGATGAAAAGCTTTGTCCTCAATGAAGACATAAATTAGCATCAAGAGAAGAATCAGAAGAGAATGAGTTGGGGGTAAAATTAATTGAAGATAATATGATTGTTTGCAGCACTCACTGATTACACAATTCACTGATGCAATAGTTGTCCTGGTATACAAGCTGTCTGAATTTTTTTTAAACAGTATCTGATACAAAAAGATGGCCTAGAAGAGCAATATGACAGTAATGAAAATGAACAGTCAGATAATTTCAAAGAGTGAATAACAGATAGAACTGAACTATTAACAATAAACCTTTTATTAAATGAATTCATATGAGCTGTATGAAAAGTGTGTTAGAAGCTTGGTAAAACTACTTGTCATTCATTTATAGCAAAATCACAATCTAGCTATCTGAAGCATCTCAAAGAAACAATTAGTATTGATGAGGTGATTGTCCTGGCAGATTTTACAGAAAATTATACTTTTTTATCTCAAGGTACAGAATTACCATTGGTACAGACAAGGTACAGAATTACCATTGTGCCTAGAGTCAGTGTTCTTTTTATTCAGCTGTCATCTATCACAAGAAAACCAAATTAGAAACATCTTATTTTTCATAATTTCCGATGATTTAAATCATGATATTGGATTTATAAATGATATTATGCATAAAACTATTGATCATATAAAACTAAACTTTGTCCCACAATTACAAAAATTCATTACTTTCCTGATAGCTGTGTTGGACAGTATAAGAACTGCAAACATTTATACAGTTTATGCCACTTGCTAAAGACTTTTCTGTTTATTGCATCTGGAATTTCTTTGCAACAAGCAATGGTAAATCTCCATACAATGGAATAGGTGGAACCGTAAAAAAGCTTGTTGCCAAGGCTAACTTGCAGAGTCCAACCACAGGTCAAATACTGCCTGCTCAAGTAATGTTTGAATATTCTCGAAAATCAACCAATGGGATTATATTATAAATTTATATTATTTAATATGTTAAATATTATAGATATTATATTATGCCAAAGTCTTCCATATATACTTTGAAAGATTTTGAGAATATGCAAGTTATGCAGAGCAATATAATTTTTTTTTTCTTTTAAAGCCCTAAATTTTTCTAAAACCTTTTATTTTAGTCAGGCAACTCCAAAAATGAGTGAAACATAAGCATGGTAATCAAATGAATGATTTCACTGGAAATCATTTATTTGATTACCATGAAATGACTTCATTGAAAAATTATCAAATATCTAGATTTGGGTTATTTTCTCTTCATCTTTAGCTTCATCGCCTTCAAAAATACTTAGGTGCCAATTTTGAACCATATTCCTTTACAAGAACTTAAATTACTCACACAAAAATATTGCTATAAAATCTATAATGGAAAATGTGAGCCCAAAAAAGGAAATTTTTTTGCCTAAATTTCAAATTGACATACTTTTGTTATGCTTCAAAGAACAAAAACCATATTTTTAGAGAGCTTAAGTTTCCCTGAGAAAAACTTAAATCTTTGGGAACTCTGGCAGGGGTGCTGAGAGTCTTCACGCCACACAAATGTCTTTTATAGCATTCGGACTTGGTAGCTCAAACTTTACATTTTTTCATATTTCATTAATAGATACACACACACACACACACACACACACACACACACACACACACACACACACATACACAAACACACATATATATATATATATATATATATATATATATATATATATATATATATATATATATATATATATATATGTGTGCAAAAATTAGATGCAAAAACATTTTGCAAAACATTCTCATTTGACATAAGCATGAACATACAAAAGTTTGGAGTTCGCACAATACCTGTAAGTGTCAAACCTCAAACATCTAAAAGTCCAGTGTACACCACTGTATATATATATACATATATATATATACATATACACACACACACATATATATATATATATATATATATATATATATATATATATATATATATATATATATATATATATATATATATATATATATATATATATATATATATATATATATATATATATATATATATACTCTTGCATGTCTCTTGCATAGCATCAAAAAAAGTTTCCCATAAACTGTAGTTTTAAAGAGCGCGTTAATAAACCAGACCAGAAAAAGTTTTGAAAATTAAATTTTTTTTTTTAATTGATAGACTGCCTGGCCAAACCAAACCCTTAGTCGATGTAGCAGCACTCTCTTGCGAGTCAGGCTATTTGTCAGTCGTTGTAGCAGCACTCCCTTGCGAGTCAGGCTATTTGTCAGTCGATGTAGCAGCATTCCCTTGCGAGTCAGGCTATTTGTCAGTCGATGTAGCAGCACTCCGTTGCGAGTCAGGCTATTTGTCAGTCGATGT